AAGTTAGTTACAATCACCTTTTTAATTATTAGAAGGAATAATTGCAGAAATGGCCATCGAGTTCATGTTAATTACAAAACAACCCAGTTTTTTTTAATGTAATTTTTCAGTTGGTGTTTAAACTTTAAAGTACTAGCCAGTAGCCAAAGGTAGTTGACAAGGCAAGTTCCTGTGATGAGTGTTTAAAACTAAAAAACAGAAAAGGCTTTCGCAAAACTACCACTTATGTGTGTTTTAGTTGTATAAGTGATTATAGAGCTTTTATGCTTGCAAAACTCACTTTTTAGTTGAAGCAGTGAGAGAATGTGACTCAAATTCTGCGTGAAACAAATTTAACTTTAATTTTGAGTTTATAATTAAAATTAGAAGTATTCTACTTTTCTGTAATAATACCACAATTAAGTTGAACTTTGTTACGATTTATGGTTGCAATTAGCTTTAAAGCAGTATGGCACTATTTGGGTTTTTTCATAATTAGACCAAACTTTCTGGGCCTCATATTTAACTAATTATTAATTAACCTAGATTATTAAAAAGTAGAGCAGTCTCTTTCCAATTCCATGTGTGCGGGATAGATATATTCTGTATTTGGCAGGAATGATTAATCCGTCATGAATGATTAGTTTAATGGTAATCCGTGAAATCCTCGGGATGCTAAACAGCTACTACTGTTGTTCTTACTGTAAAAGCTTCGAACAACAGTCCCGAGCCCCGACATTAAATTATGCAACCAATATGTATGCAAGTTTTTTATTAAATTACATAAAGAGCAGTTTTGTACTTGCCTTAATTATGTCACATTCCTTACAAAAATAGGTCAACCTAAACATGGTTAATGGTGTTTTATCCTCTTTTAACTATACTAGCAATCAACTCGTCTACATATACAGAAGGCGGATACTTATAGAGTAAGCAATACAAAATATAACTAAAATTATAAATAATAATTTAATTAATGTAAAGCAAGAAGAATTCTTGGCTATTTGATCTATCAAATGAATGGTTATAATCAAGTCAAATTGTATTAATGTCAGTCAAATATATTGTGACAATCTCATAACTAAGTGGTCATATTGTGGTCAAATATTAATATTTGACCACTCATTAAAGGCATTCTGATCATTAACAACACCTAGTGGACCCCACCCCAACACTAACCTTAATATCACTCTCTCTCACACACTTACACACAAAATACACACACACACACCTCGCCTCGCCTCTGCCGTCAACAGCAACCGTCTGCTGTCAATAGACCGCCACCTCGCCTCCGCCTTCCGGCCACAACAGTCTCGCCTCGCCTTGCCTGGTCTTCGTCGTCCGCCGCCTTCATCCTGTCGCAGCAACCAGCCTGCCACCGCCACCAGCC